ATGCACCAATATGATAAATGTATATTCCATCTCTTCTGAAGTCGTACGATGGCTTTGTGTGAGGAACAGACCGAAATTTAATTTGATAATCACTCCATCTTTTAACCGCTACCGGATCATTGACTCTATGAGTAGAACTAAACAGCCAGGGCTGCGTTTCCCAAAAGCATCATAAGCTTAAGTTGATCGTAGCTCCACTGGTTTCAATGGATGTACGATGTACTTAAGCTTACGATGCTTTTGGGAACACAGCTCCAGATCGATCAGAGTTGTGAACGAATCATTCAGACAGTTGTTGGGTTCAACTGATTCACTGGGAAGAATCGATTTGTACATGAGCATCCCAATCAGGGCTCTCATCACCGTGAGACAAACGCATTTCAACCAGTTCACACACTCTCACGCCACACTTTGTATTCCTCACGCCAAAAAGTAAGGGATAACTTTTCCCGCTATATACAATTAATAGACGAGGCGCAGGCATACGGAGGGAAGTTCGTTACTAAGCAACATATGGAATAAAATCGCTGTCAAAAATAATCGTACGTAAGCACACGGAACGTAAGTTCAAAGAGCAAGATCCGATGAATGCTGTAGGTAACCCCTTTATTTTATTATTATTTTTAGCATTTTAATTGTACGATTCCTGGACGAAATCACTTACTTGTGATCAAAGATAGTGAGAGCTGATGTTGGGAAGCCAAATTCGTGCTAAATTATTATTGATGCAGTCACAAACTCCAACTGCTTTGCAACTAGGTAAGTCTGATAAAAGACAGACATATTCATCCAAATAAAATTTATTGTTTTATATATTTTAAAAAAGGTTTTAAAAATACAAAGAAATTCGGCCCCAAACATGCCAACTGAGCATGTACGTCAAGCTGTGTGTAGCCTGTGTATGTGTATGTATGTGTGTGTGTGTGTGTGGGAGAGAGAGAGAGAGAGTACACATTTCAGCTTATGTTTTTTCTGTTGTGTTTGTTGAACATTTTGATGTCTTGATGACAGGTAGAGGGCTCTCATATAAAGCACCGTGGCTTCCCCCACTCAAATGCAGATGCAGAGAGAGTTTTCTCCATGGTGGGTTTGAACAAAACCAAAACTAGGAACAGTTTGACTCTGGATGGAACGCTATTATCTATCATGATGGTGCTTTATCCCGATGGTTCTTATCACCCAACACAAAGCAGAGGGTTCTGAAGTAAAAACTGTCAAAATTTTGGAAGTAATCTAATGAAGATTAAACAAACTCTAAAATTACATAATCATGACATTTTTTAAATTGTATTTAGTTTTTGATTATTTTGTTCAATATTGACCTTTATACAAACTTACCACAGTGTTTCCAGTTTACAGTGAGGATCCTTCAGTCCATCAGAGAGCAGATTCACTCCTGAGTCTCCTAGTTCATTCAACGACAGATGTAGTTCTCTCATGTGTGAGGGGTTTGATCTCAGAGCTGAAGCCAGAGCAGCACAACCTTCATCTGTCACACCACACTTACTCAACCTGTAAAGATTGAAGATGCATGGTGAACTGATACTAGCTGCAGTTATAGAATAAAATGAGTTTATTAAACGTTTGGAGAGAGATTACATCTGTTAGGGGAGGAGCCACTCAAATATTTGCAGCAGCAGCCCCTCGGAGTTCAATTTGACCTATTGTCCATAATTGACCAGCACAAATAGAAATTATAACAATTGGTAAATCTGCTAAAAGACAAAACCATCCAAGTAAAATTAATTGTTTTATATATTCAAAAATACAAATGTATCTAAAATAAAAAGAAATTTGGCCCCAGACAAGCAAACTGAACAGCAGTGCTCATTGTACATATTGTACACATACAGGATTGCAGAACTTGCCCTGAGCATGTATGTCAAGCAGTGTGTGTGAAAGAGAGAGAGGGAGAGAAAGAGAGAGAGAGAGAGAGTACACATTTCAGCTTATGTTTTTTCTGTTGTGTTTGTTGAACATTTTGATGTCTTGATGACAGGTAGAGGGCTCTCATATAAAGCACCGTGGCTTCCCCCACTCAAATGCAGATGCAGAGAGAGTTTTCTCCATGGTGGGTTTGAACAAAACCAAAACTAGGAACAGTTTGACTCTGGATGGAACGCTATTATCTATCATGATGGTGCTTTATGTGGGAGCCCTCTACCCCTGTCACCAGGCATCAAAATGTGCAACAAACACTTACAACAGAACAAAAACTTAAGCTGAAATGTGTACTCACTCTCTCTCTCTCTCTCTCTCTCTCTCTGTCTCTCTCTCTCTCTCTACACACACACACACACACACTCACAGCTTGACATACATCTGCAAGGCAAGTTCTGCAATCCTACTGTATGTGTATGTAAAATGAGTACTGCTGTTCAGTTGACTTGTTTGTGGCTAAAGTTCTTTTTATTTTTGATACATTTGTATTTTTGAAATGCATAAATCTATTCAGTCTTTTATCAGATTTACCAGTTGTTATAATTTCTATTTGAGCTGGTAAATTATGAGCAATAGGTAAAATTTAACCGCTAGCAAAAACTTGAGAGAATTGGGTGCTGCAAATATTTGAGTGGCTCCTCCCATTTGTGTGCCCCCTCCCCTAACAGATGTAATCTCACTCCAAACTTTTGCTATAACTTGAGAGCCCTGATGATGCCAATAATTAAACATGAGCATGCCAACGAGACCAACGGCAGATTCCAGTTTGTTCCTCACACAAAGCCATCATATCACATATCATATCACATGGCTTCATAAGAATTTGAATATATAGCACACAAGTCATATGGACAACTTTTGTGATACATTGTTCTTGTTGCAGCTTGAAACCCTCAGCCTCATTAGCCTTCCCCTTTTGCACAGATCTGCGTGGAATGCATAGACTTTTGTTTGGATTAATCCAGTCTATTGTATCCAGCAACATTCAATGCAATTCAAGCAAAACATCTGAAGTGGTTTCTTGTACTGAGTGTTGATAGGGGAGTAGGTATGCAGTTCCACAACACTAGAAGAATGCTACAGGGATGATGTATTTATGTAGGCCAAAAACTGGAAACAAATTAGCATTTTAGTACTTCTGGTTCCATCGTCCTCAAGTCAGGTTTTTTTTTTATGGGTTTAATATGGTCTGCAGTTAACACAAGCTCAATATTTCACATAGCTGGTGGCTAACAGTTGGCTAAATGGGATGACAAAGGTTTTCGAGGTTGTTTATAAACAGGTAAACTCACTATAGTTCACTTTTTTACAAACATCCGTCATCACTGCAATACTCTATTCAAAAAAGGAACTTTTATTAAAGCTTGTAGCAACCAACTAACAGACCAGATCGGCTGGTTTAAGCTCTTTTTTAAAACTTTGTTGGCTTGTGTACAAATTATTTATTCCAATTATCATCATTATTAATTGAAACTGGACTATTGAATATTGGTGTATTTTTTTTCTTCATATTTCTGTAGTTTTGTTCACACTGCACTGCTTCACGTCGTGCCCAAGAACATCCCTCAAGGCCTCTCATGGCTTATTGCTTCATTCTCATTCAAATCTTTTTATCTGTTTATGACTGCGACAGAGCTATGTTCTGATTCAATCATAGGAGAAATCTTGTTGTGAGAGTGAAATATGCATCAAACCATTCCACTGAGGAGTTTCAAAATATTGAAATCAAATTTTGTTGTACCTGTAAGGCCAAATTCACATCAAAATGCATTCCATCCACCTCATTGTTATTGTAAGAGCGGCCATTTGTAACTTGAATATGCAAAGCTTCTGGTGTCATACACTTCCAGTTATTTTACCTGTAAAAAAACAGCCTGTTATGCTGCTTTATATTGCAAACTGGTCCCAGCTAACAAAAAAAAAAAGTTATGAAAACATTATTTCTGCATGTTTGCTGAATGCTCATAACATCCAGTTTTTTAAAAAAAATTTAAAAACATTTTTTTCTTGGTTATACGAACAAAGGGAACATCCCATTTGGTAATTTATTTTGATAGTCTTTAGAAAATTAATGTAACTTTACAACTACATGTCAACTACCAGTAATTAGAGTATCAGATTGTCTGCTTAATATCTGCTAACATCTGCTAACAAAGACATTCTACTGACTATAAGTAACTTTGTATGCCTACATCAACTTATTCTACTAACCCTAACCTAAACAGTTTAAGAGTTAGTTAACATGTAGTTGCACAGTTACTTATAATTAGTATAATGTCTAAAGTGGACTATCAAAAGTAATTTTGCAAACATTATGGGAGAGTTACTTTTGAATGTTTTCTGAACCTTCTGAAACAAGTATTAACATTTAAAAAATGTTTCAACTAAAACATTTCAGAAAAAGGTTCCATGAATGATGAATAAATAACTTTTTTATTTTTTTAACGTTTTTAGAACATTAGGCTAGTAGCAACCTGATCTCATGACGAAAACGTACTTGTGGGAATTTGTTCACAAGATGCGAAATACGTAGCGTATGTTTCGTGAGATATTCAATGTGAAATGTTCACTGAGTGGCGCTAAAAGAGTTTCATCTCTTTCAAGGATTCCGCATTCTGAGTCCAATTCCGTGCACGCTACCGAGCAAGCTTGTTACATGGAGTGATATGTACTTTACTGCAGTGATATTTACTTATTGGTACGTATTTTGCGCCTTGCGAAAAATTTCCCACATGTACGTTTTCGTCATGAGATCAGGTAGGCTATTAAAGACCAGACAACTTTGAACGAATGTTCTATGAATGTTACTGGAAAGAACGTTTATTCATAAGTTTGAGAGAACCTTTGCCAGAATGTTAGCCAAAGTTTTAAGAACGTTCGCTGTTAGCTGGGCAATTTGTTATCATATTGTTTTAATTTAATTTCATAAACGTACTGATTTCTAGCACAAATAGTTTTACCATTCACTTATTTAATTTAATTATTTACCTAAAGCTACTAATGAATCAGAAGTCATCGTAAATGGCTTACTTCCACAATGCAAAATAAGTTGGATAAAACTTCAGATCTCCTTTAACACAAGACTCTGTGTGAACCGAGCATTGTGGGCACTTCAGACTTTTACTGCCGATATTTCAGGCTGTGGAGAACATATACTTCAACTCTACCCAATTAGTGTGGTGGCTACAAGCCACAAGGCCCGGTCTGCCCAATTGGGGGGGTGCAAAAAAGCCACAAGGCCCGGTCTGAGCCCGACAGCCTCTGCATGGCCGCTGCGCTGAGGACGCCCACACAGCTCTGCACTCGGTCGCACTCACACACAGCTGCCAGAAACACACTACTGTTTTTCAGCATCTAAGACCTCCCCCTCCACACCATGACGCCCACGCTCACACATACACACACACACACGCTGTCAAATGCAAAGCCATCTAATGCAACCACAACGCCCATGCTCACACACACACACACACACACACACACATATAAACACTGAATTCTGCACTCGTTAGGGTGCATTTGAGAAGACGAAGAGCGAGAGGGAGATAGAATGTCAAAGAGGTGGACACGAACTAAGACAACCAAAATCTCACCATTTTTTTGAAGCATGTGTGTGAGCGAGACAGAGAGTGTGTGAATTTGTGCATGCATGTGTGAGAGAGCGAGGATTAGATGCATGCATGCAGGGAAGTAGCTGAACGTGGAAATTCATTCAAACAAACTTTGTGTCTTCACGTATCATCGCAACCGTGTGGGAGTGTGGGCAGGTATTTATGTGTTTGAGTGTTTGGGAGTGCGTGTGGGTGGGTGAGCTGCACACATCTGTGTTTTTGTGTGTGAATGTATCTGTGAGAGAGCATGTGTGCGCAAGCGTAGGCTGATTTCTAGCGCTTGGGTGTGTTTTGGTGTGGGTGGGGGGTATCTGGCATCCAAAGATAGGGACTGGGACTTGGAACCGTCTGGCTGTGTCTGTCCAAGCTTTTCCAGCAAACTTTCCCATGGCTCCAGTGTGGAGTCAAAGGTCATCGCTCACTTTGGTGAAAATTATTTTCCGAAGATAGACTTCTGACGCTTGACTGAACCCTCTGCTGCCGTAGACTTTCCTTGTGCAATTAAAAATTAAAGATTCAAATTCAGTCATATAATTTCTGTTAGTCAGTTGTAGCCAGACTGTATTGACTGTCTGAATAGTCTGCTCCACTTCATAACTTATTCTAGGCAAGAACCGCTTACTTAGACAATAAAGGCCTGTTTGACTGACATGAAAAGTGGCCAATCGGTTTGTTTTGTTTTTACATGACTAGCTGTATAGAAAACACAGAGAAAATTAGCAGAAAATGTGTGTAGACTTTATAATCAGAATGTATTTTAGTTTATTATTATTGAGAACTGATTATTTCATACAAACATCTATTAAAAAGGAAATAACATTCTTTTTTTTTTTTTTTTTTTTTTTTTTTTTTCATGTGACACTGAAGACTGGAATAATGGCTGCTGAAAATTTCAGTTTTGCCATCACAACAATAAATTACATTTTAAACTATATTTCAGTAGAAAAGAGTTATTTTAAATTGTAATACTTTTTCACAATGTTACTGATTTTACTAAATAAACTTAAGCGTTTGTACTGCCTTAAAGTTTTTTGTTTTGTTTTGTTTTTTTAGGCCAAATGCATTCTGGTGTTCTTGTTCTTTTTGACACAGTAGACACAGTATTCAGCAGTGGACTTACAATGATCCTGTGCTAATTGGAGAGTCAAACCTGAAAACGACTGAACAGAGGATCTGAGATTTGAGTTAAAGTTCACCCAGATATCCTGCAACATTTTGTGGATTTTTTAAGCATGTCCCTTCCTGACCGATGACAGTTTAAATAGAGCACAAACTTCCTGTGTAAGAGAGTAAATGTTTATTGTGTGTGTTTGTTCATGAATGGGCGTATATATATATATGTGAGAAGGGAACTGAAAGGAGAATTCTAAAAAAACAAGCTTGGCGTGGGACGAGGAGTGGAGTGCTGTGACCCCAGAGCCACACACTCACATACACAGTTGTATACACGCTGGAGAATCATTGACCTGTATGAAGAGCAAAGAGGAAGAGGGACTGTGAACGGATGTCTGGTATCAACCCTTGAAGTGCCTCAACAAGTAAAGTACTTGCTAAATCATTTCAGAAGTTGAGGCAGTTTTTAACAGATTTGCAATATCAGTAGATGCCTTTGAGCATTTCCATACACTCTCAGAGAAAAAAAAAAAAGGGGCCAAAAGCTGTCATTGGGGCGGTACCTTTTTGGTTATCAGTAGTGGAAACAGTATGACTATTTGTCATCACGCACTGGTGGTACACGGTCGTCCAGTGATACAGTATCTATTTTTAATACAATGATAAAACAAATTATATTTAACAGTATGTTTCCAAAAACCAAGTGTTTCAGAAGTGGCTGGGCTTCGGCAGAGTGCCATTTGAAAATAACTTAATATCTTTGGAGGAACGGGGAAACCTGCCAACAGACAACAAATAAGACAAAAACATGTGCCAACTCATTTAATTCAATATGACTTTGAGAATAAATACTGAACACGATATGGCTTCTGCAATGAGAAATACAGTATCTGAAAATAAGAAGTGAGATTATCGAAATGACTGGACACAAAAATCTATGTAAGCTCAATAACTCCCATCAAACCGGTTCAACAGCGCTCGACTCCACACTAGGATCAAGACAGGGAATCACATGAAAGCATTACAAGCATATCTTAATGAATAAATGAAGCAAGTGACATCCTGACAGTCCCAATGAAAGGACTGTAAGCACTCAAGAATCTGAATGTGAAATGCTCACAGGGAAATCCAACGGAAATGAGACTGAATACCAAGCAAGGGAGATACCATGATCGCGAAATCAGGTTGAGGAATGAGATTAAGTCAATCAGTCTGAGTTGCATTCACACAGAGCTCATGGGGGGCTGTAATATCGTGTCAGTGACTTTGTTTTTTTTTTACTTATTTTTAATTCCCAACATTTGCAGTGATTCTCATTAAATACTTTACAATTTAAATAAAAGTATAATAAATAATAGTTGAATCATTTTTTTTTTACTTATTTATTGTTTCACTTATTTATTGTTTGAATTGTGGTAATGACATTTGCAGAAAATTCATTTGTTTCATTGATGCTTATTTAAAAATTTTTTTTTTTATCATTTTGTTACAGTATTTTTTACAGTAATGAGATGCTAATGAGAATCACCATTGAGAATAATGGTAATAATAATAAAATAATAACAATAATAATGTCCACATTTGAATGAGAATTTGAGGGATACATTTTCTTAATTAAGACAAATTGCTTTTGATGTTCTTCATTTAAATGTTCTGGATAAAAGCATCTTAAAGAAATGCAAAAGTTAACTATCATGAATTTAATGTCAAATGGTAAATGTTAAAGCTTCATTTTCTTTATTCAAATGTAATTTCTTATTTCTTTTAATAAAGGAATTAAATATAACCATACAGTTTTGACAGGTTTCATGAGATTCCTTAAGGGTCTGTCATTAACACATTTCTACCAAATCCATTAATGGTTTCGTTTTACAGTAAATGTGTCTATATATGCTTGAGGTATCAGATGTAAACAAATCCCATCATGCAGGAACGTATACTCGAAGCCTAGTGAATTACACCTGTGGTTAATTTGTAGGTGCTTAAATGCCGCTGGCTGAATTTAGAATATGAGCTAGTCCTCCAAATAGCCCTGTCAATGCAAAGTGCCACTGCAACCAAACACAAATTTCTGTCTCCACGTCCAAGTAATTATGCACTGCCAACTCCCTAGAGTCAAACTCTGCATCCAATATTCCTCACAAAGGACTTCAGGGCTGCAGCATGGGTGTGTGCTGCCCACGTCTTCCTGTGTGTTTCAGGGCACCACCTACATTTGAACACAATAATGACCAGTGTCCTTCCCACCCCCTGTACACACACCACGTTAATGAACTGTAATCACATCTCTGGGCCCCTGGTGGACCTGGCTGTGTGGGTGGGGCTTCTACCACTAGCAGAGTCTGATTGCCGCCCACCCTTCCATCCATTTTCTGCACAGCATGGCTAATGAGGAATGATCCAACCAATCAA